TAATACAATTGTTATTCAAATATACACACCAAAGCCACAGATGAAGAAACTGAGTACTTCTACCAACTTTTGCATTTGGAGGTGATCATATATGACCACGGTAGACAACACTGGAATCAGACTGACTGCGTCTGTGGAAAAACATGTTGAAGCAGCTCAATAGAAGCAGTCAAAACAAGACTAAGGGCTTATCATCAATTACTCATGTCCAAGTTCAAACTGATGTTGAAGAAAATGGTAACAAATCCACAAAATCAAAAGGCACACAAATATCATAAACATACATGCTGTGTTTGTTATAGAAAACAAGCTTGGACCCAACAATAATAACTGACTACTGGAAAGCAAAAGTTGGAAACTAGAAACTTGGTAACAGAAATGAGGCTGGAGATGGAATGACAGAATGTTGTACAATGAGCAACTTATTAATTGCAAATACCTTAAAAAACCCATCAGTGCTAGTAGTCATAGCAGTGACCACATGAACTTCACCTGGTAGACAACACTGGAATCAGAATGACTGCATCTGTGGAAAGACATGTTGAAGAAGCTCAATAGAAGCAGTCAAAACAAGACTAAGGGCTTATCAATTACTCATGTCCAAGTTCAAACTGATGTTGAAGAAAATGGTAACAAATCCACAACAACCAGTATGAAACCATGAGTCTATTGTGTTTAAAAACCGTCTTAAGAGTCGATACACTGAACAGTAATGACTGGAGACAAGCTGTGAGATGACATCAAGGATATCATTCATGAAGCAAGCAGTCATTACAGAGAAAAGACCAAAAAATATATCCTAAGAGACTCTGAAATTTGCAATAACATTTAGAGAAGCTAAAACAAAGGGAAGAAAAACTGAAGTAAGGAAGATGACCAGATGGCAAAGGGTAACTTGAGAAGAGAAAGCAAAGTATTCTACTAGGCAAAGGAGTTAGAAAACCAAAAGGGAAAGCAAGCTCAATATTTCTCAGGTTGAAAGTGCTGAAGAACAAATTCAATCCTCAAGTTAAAATACTGAAGAATTCTGCGGGCAAAATCTTGAATGACATGTGGCCTGAATCATCAGAAGAAAATGGAAGGAATACATAGTCACTGTACCAAAAAGAATTGGTTTTCATTAAACCAGTTCAGGAAGTAGCATGTGATCATGAATCAGTGACAATGAAGACAGAAATTCAAGTTGCTCTAAAGGCACTGGAATAATAAGGACCCAGGAATTTATGGAATACCAATTGATATGTTTTGCCATGCCTGGACACACGTATTCGTTTATGCCAAATTTGGAATACACCTACTTGATCAGCTGGCTGCAAGAGAGCCGTACTTGTTTCCATTAAAAAAAAAAAAGATGATCTAACCAAATGTGCAAATTATTGAATATCATATGCAAGTAAAATCTTGTTGAAGATTATTCAATAATGGCTGGGACAACACATTGACAGGGAACATCCAGAAATTCAAGTTGGAGAAAAGGCCATGGAACTAGGGATGCCATTGCTGATGTCAGATAGCTGTTGGTTGAAAGCAGAGAATACCAGGTATCTATCTATCTATCCATCCATCCATCCACTTGTGTTTTATTGACTATGCAAAGGCATCTGACTGTGTGGACCATAACAAATTACTGTTAACACTGAGAATAACTGGAATTCCACAACACTTACTTGTGCTCATGGTAAAACTATACCTAGATCAAGAAGCAGTGGTCTGAACAGAGTAAGGGAACACTGCAGTTTCAAATAAGGAGAAGTATGCATCAGAGTTGACGTATTTCTCCATACCTATTAACTCTGTACGCTGAGCAAATCGTGTGAATTCAAGACGCTGGACGACATGAAGAAGAGTGCGGCATCAGAATTGGAGGAAGACTCATCAACAACTTTCTTGCAAAAAATGAAGAGAACTCAAAGCACCTGATGCAGGTCTGACTACAGCCTTTAATATAGATTATTATATCTCAACACTAGGAAAAGAAAATGCTTCACCACCGGACCAATAGACAACATCATGATAGATGGAGATAGATTTAAGTTGTCAGTGATTTAATTTTGCTTAGATGCACAACCAACACGGCAGTCAAGAAACAAAAGATGTGCTGCCCTGGGAAAATCTGCTGTCAAGGACTTTTCCCAAGTGCTAAAGAGCAATGATGTCAGACTTAGGTGTGCCTGATCCAAGCCATGGTATTTACACTCGTTTCTTACACACCTGAAAGTTGGACAATGAATAACGATGACAGCATTGATATCTTTGAATTGTGGTGTTGGAGAAGAGCCCTGAACATCCCATGGACTGCTAAAAGAATAAAGAAGCCTTTCTTGGCGGAAGTGCAACCAGGGTGTTCCTTGGAGGCAAGGATGGTAAAATTTCATCTCACACACTTCGGGCATGTTGTCAAGAGGGGCCAGTCCTAGGAAAAAGACATCATGCTGAGAAAAGTGGCAGGTCAGAGAAAGAACAAGGGGAACTATAAGGTCTATGGTCCAAGTTAATAGACTTCGAAAGGGAATAATATTTCTCATTCTTGTGCTTGGGTGGCAAACTTGAGTGGTGCAAATGGTTAATGCCTGGCTGCTGATAATGAGAGAGTGGAGGTTTCAGTCTTCCTGCAGAAGGAAGGCCTGGTGATGTGCAAAACCCACCTTTGAAGACCGTGTGGGCACAGTTCCTCTGGCACACCTGGTGTCACTATGAGCTGGCACTGACTAGATGGTAACTGGGTGTGGATGCTACACAGAGACTAAAATATTACAAAGAATGAACCTTTACAATTAGTGATGACCCCCAGACTTAGATGACAAAGAGAGTTACACACAGTCACCATTTTGGACACGTATTTTATTGTTTAGAAATTTCCTGTAGAGTTATCATTTAAGTACCTTCGTCGGGAAACGCCTGTGAGAACCCAGTCTAGGAAATAGCCACAGGCAGGCACCGCCCACACCCAGGTCCACATAGGGGATGAAAAACATCCCAGGTGCAGGTTCAGAGTGTAGCCCTAAACAGCAATGGACTTTCTCTGGCAGTGCCCCCCAAAAGGCAAGGCACCGGAATAGAACCTGCATGGAGAAAAGCCAATCTACGGAGATCTGTGTTCCAACCTGAAGTCAACTACATATGTAGATGACCTTTCATGTCTTTCTTTTAAAGCAGACAGCATGTACATGACATCTTTTTAAAAAAATCTTGTAAAGGTTGCAAAATGTTGAGGGGTTTATTTATAATCTGAAGAGAATTATTAAAAACTATTGGACTTGTTAAGACTACAAATACTAATCCCTCATCTCCCCATGAAAAAGCAATTGTTACAAAAATATAAAAAATATACCAGCCTCTGCCACTGAACCTTTCTGCTCACGGAGAATACAGTCAAGTGGACCGCTACCCTTTCTAAGCAAGGAAACCAGAAATTGCGTGACTCTGGGCCACATTCTGGTTTGTATGCTTATGCAACAAGTGAAAAGTGCAATTTTTTTCTGTTTTGTAAGGAACAGAAATTTCAAAAGATTCCCTTTTATTATTTGAAAGTGGTTCCTTTCTTCTCAGGGACGGCAATGGGTAGTAAGACTTCCGAGTGTGGTTTTGTTTTTTTTTTTTTCTGTCGTAATCCCCTGCGTGCACGCAGTGTGGAGATTCTAGCTTCGAAGCTGCTTTCAGACCTCACTCCTCTGGCCTCTTCAGCATTCTGTCTAGTTCCTTCAGTTCCATTCTGGGGCCATGCTCCTGAGCTGGCCTTGACTTCCCTAACTGCTCACGGGCCAAGATGATAAGGCAGAAACACTCTCGATGGAGGAGAAGGTACAGAGCCTGCTCTACTGCTCGGAGTAGCTTTCCTAGAGTCTGGGCTGGACCCAGGGTTACCAATGCCAGGGGGAAGCCAAGTGGCTGGCCAGCTGGCGGGCTGAAAAGATCATGGTTGTAGTGGGATATGGTGCTCGGGCAGTCAGCAGCAAAATACCTTGCATTAAAGGATTTCTTGACATTTTTGATCAGCCTCTACAGCAGCCAAGCTTCCGGGTTCTTTGACCAGTTGAGAGCTAAGAAATGGACTAAACTCAGTTGGAAACTGCTGGGGACACCTTCAGCCTTTTGTTGTCCGCGCTGCTGCCAGTAGGGGGCAGTATTTGTAAAGGCTCCCTCAAGCCCTGAGGAAAGACTTCTCCCCAAGTGGGGCTCCCCACATCATTGGGGTATTTCTGGGCATGCACTCCGTGTCCCGAGAGACCCCTCAGTTGGGAGTCTCAGCTGAAGCATTTCCCAATGAATGCTTTATACCTAAAGCCCTCTCTCTATCTGCTGGCGAGCTCCCAAATGGAATCAGGGCCTTGACTTGGAGCCTGGCTTCCCCCTGCAGGATCCTCTGATTTTGGCTGCAGGCCCCAGTGCCTGCCACAAAGCAGCCAGGCATCTCGCCCAAGTCCGTTCCCCACAGCCCTCACCGTTCTCGGCTGCCTCAGCTCAGCTCAGATCCCGTCTGAGCCTCCAATGGACGCCTAGGCTCTATGGTCTCAGTCCTTCAGGACGAGAGCCGCACTGAGGGTTTTAATTCCCAGGTGAGTGAGGCTGGCGAGTTGGGACTTTGCAGTCCTCACCACAGTTAAGTCGGACATTGCATTTCCCCAGCACCTGCTGGATTTGCCCCTCGCCCAACACACCTAATTACTGAAACCCCTAAAAGGACTTCTTGAAAGCAACAGAGTCCAAGAACCCGGGCCACATCGGCATGGCGAGTCGTCTTCTACTTTGGCTGCATCAAAAAACAAAACAAAACAAAGAAACAAAAATCCAAAACCCACTGGAGTTGCCAGCATGTCACACATTCACATTTGCTCAGAAGAGAGGTGCTCCCGACCACAAGGCACAAAGAAAGAAGTCTCCTGGGGTAAAACGATGATGAGCTCGACCAGTGACCCCGCGAGGCCCGAGGCAGCGTCCCTGGCGGAGGTGGCCACAGAAGGCAGGCCCGAGCGAGGCTGCCGTCTGGGGCCCTGCGCGCCTCACGCGAACGTCTCCAGGAACTTTATGTGGAAATCTTTCACTTTTTCTAAAACTGTCTTCAGCTTCTCCACTGGAGGCAGAATGGTCATTCTGTCAGGAAAGAGAACTCTGGTCAGCTTGGACACGAGCTGTTCTAGAAGAATCCAGCTGTCTGTTCTTTGGTTTAAAGAGGAGAGAAGGACAGTGGGAGATGTTCCGTGGGGAGGGACGGAGCCTGTTGTGTGGGTGGCCCCTTGCACTTGTTAAATCACTTTTTGAACGAGATGAAGTGAGTGGGACTCAGGATGGAAAAGGTGAACCAGTCACAACCATTTGGCCGAGGGACTCTGTCCACGACCTTGGGCGTTAGGTGCTAAGCCCCTGACATTTCTTTTTTTAGCATCTATTTCTGGAGACATCTGAGTGACGCATGAGAAGGTGCTGCTCTGAATATAATACAGGGTGCTGTGGTCTGAGGGCAGTCGTGCTGCTGACCCAAAGGGGGCACCTCTCTGGGGGTTCGAATCCACAAGCCCCTCTTATGAGAGAAAGATGTGTAGTCTCCTCCGCTGGAGGGTCAACAAGGAGCCTTTGCCGACCCTCCAGCAGGGAGAGAGTGAGGAAGCCAGTAATAAGGCTGTGATTCCTCCTGCCCCGTTCTGGGAGCCGCATTCCCATCTGCTCAGTCAGGGTTAAGGAGCCAGAGAGCAAAGGGCTCTGGGAAAAGAACGGCAGCGGTGGTGGCTCCGCAGGCTCTGGGCCCAGAGAGGAGAGGTTGTGGTGCCACCGGCTCCAGGGGGTCCCTGCTCCCGCCATGTGCACAGTGTGTGCTTCTCTTAGGGCGTCTGAAAGGGACAGGCCCTCACAAGGTGACATGAAGCATGGGGACAGTGGTGTGGACTGAGAATGGTCAAGGGGAGGCTTTTAGGGCAGAGGAGCTCTGAACTTGGCTTAGAATGGATGTTGCTGGGGTGAGGGTTCCACACATCTCAGCCTTCAAAGCCAGCTCTGTGCTTATTAAGAAGCCCCAATTTCCCAAGACAAAGCGAGGTCTGCCTCTCCACCCCGCCCTGGGGCACAGAGAGGGAGTGGTACCTGAAGTGGTAGGTGCCTTCTCGTTGACCGAAACCGCTCCCAGGCACCACGCAGATGCCAGTCTCCTCGAGCAGTTTCATGCAGTAGAACATGTCTGGGGCCATCTTGTGAGCCTGCAGGGACAAGACGGGACTTAGGATTCATTTCTGGCTTTGTAACGCACCCATCACTGCAAACTCCACGTCAAACACGATCTGAACAGCAGGGCCCTCTGCTCTCAGCTTCCTGCACGGAAATGTCTGTCTGCTGCCACAGGCTGCTTGGGGACAGCTATGGGCCCTGATCCTTCTACTCTTCACCTCCAGCGCCAGCCTCTCTCTTTCCTCTCCCATCACAGGCCAACAGGCATGGCCCCCCCGGTGCCAAATCACACAGGACTCTGAAAAGGGGGCCCTCCCACCTGAGCCCGGTCCTGGTAAACAGTGTCACTCACACACCAGTTTGGGGACCAACTGCACATGGTTACCATGCTGAACGGCTAACTGAAAGGCTGGTGGTTAGAATCCATCCAGAGGTGACTCAAAAGAAAGCCTGGCGATTGACTGTCCAAAGCTCAGCCATGCAAAGCCTTATGGAGCCCACTTCTACTCTGACAGATGGGGTTGGCACCATGCGTCAGGGTCCTCTCAATGGCAACAGGTGGCAGTGGGGGGAAGAGGTGCTTGTTAAACCTCAATCCTCAGACTCCAGCACCAGAGACTTGACTGAGGGCCTGGGAGAGCCCAGAGCTGGAACGAGTCAATGTATTCAGAGGGTAACTCCATATGACCCAGCTATTCCACTACTAGAAATACACCCCAAGGACATGAGACCTGAGACACAAATGGAGATCTGTACAGCAATGTTCATAGCAGCATTATTCACCATCACAAGAACATGGAAACAGCCCAAATGTCCAACCACAACCAAATGGATTGAGAAATTGTGGTACATTCACACAACGCAATACTATGTAGCACTCAGGAGCAAAGATTTTGAAAACTGCTACATAACTTGGGAGAGAACAGAGCATTATACTGAGTGAACTAATAACTCAGTCTCATCAGGACAAATACTGCCTACGACAGTTATTGTAAAAATAGAAGGGTAACTAGCAAAACATATATGGGAATCCAAAGCGGGAGAGGAGTGGGCGTAGAGGGGTAAGAATAGGTGGGGTGAAATCAGAGTTATATAATTTGGTGTGTGGAGGGAGGCAGGTGAAGGAAATGGGAAAGATCTGGCGGAGACCTGAAAAGACAGGGTAATGGTGGGCATAGTCCAACGGTGATTAATTTCATAAAACATAATGAATGGGTCGTCCCCTTTTCCTTATGAATCAGGGTGA